TGACCTTGGCTCATCGCAAACTCCACCTCCCAGGTTCAAGGGATTCTCCTGCCTTAGCCTCCTGAGTAACTGGGACTACAGGCACATGCTATGACGACCAGCTAATTTTTGTATTTTTAGTAGAGACAGGTTTCACCATGTTGGCCAGGATGGTCTCGATCTCTTGACCTCGTGATCCGCACACCTCGGCCTCCCAAAGTGCTGGGATTACAGGCATGAGCCACCATGCCCAGCCCTCAATCTAGTATTTTTCATTTTGACAGTATCTTTGTTTATAAAACCATCAAAAAGCTGTCAAAATATATGATCATATAACAAAGTGAAAAGTGCAATAACAATACAAAGATATATCACTATAACTATCTTTACATTAAAAAAGTTTAAATGTTAGATCATCTAAACTTCGAGGACAAAACTATTCATTCAAGTAGCACTAACTGCTCAATACCCAAAGTACATTGTAATATGCCACCTTTTTTATTTACTGGAAGATGAGCGGACTGATAATTACCTACCTTCCTCAATGCAGTTTGACATCACTTTTCAAATTAAAAGATTATGTTCTTCTAGTTATCACTTGAATTTCTTCAAGTAAAAGATTCAACTTAAAAACTCGTTAACTTTATAAAATAAATAGAAGCATTTCCTCTTTTATTAAAAACTTTACTGAACTACATCACTGACAATAGAGCAAGTTAGACTTAAGAGTTAGGGATTTCAGGATAGTTTTGATGGTTCATTTATTTATGGATATGGTTTACCTCTCCATTCTTTTGTACTTACCTAAGTTTACCAAATTAGGTGCATTCAATATTTTAATAAGTCTCTTTATTTTGGAGGATACTAAATCAAAACTGTAAATGGACTTCTAAGAATAAATGCGATTCTCATACAATAAACAATTCAATATTCAGGCATTGGGTTAAACTAAATTATTTCATTTGAAGGTGAATTCCATTCCTTGTGAAGTTCCCCTAAAATTCAACACACTGCAACAAATTAAGCCACTTACTGAGAGAATAACACTTTCTGCCCCATATAAAGGTGACCCTTCTTCCATCATTCTATAGAAATATAAAATCAAAAGTAATTCACACTGGATGAGCATGAGTTTCATTCTTCCATTATGAATTAGACTGAAGAAACATTCAAAATGCTATGACTCACTTGGCTATATCACTGAACACTTTATTAAATGGAAAATAAGATAAATTCAAAGCATCATATTTTGAGAGTTACAGATGACTTTTAACTTAGAGTTATATCAACAAGAAAAACATGTCTTTATTAGAAATAAATTTTTCACTGTTATTTTAAGAATGATGAAACATTTAAAATGCTACATACTGATTCTCTTAAGAGCACTTCAAAGTGGCACTCTTAAAAAGCTGCGAATGTTGCCAAGTCATGTTATAACTGGCTCAAAGAATCTTATTTCCATTAAGTTATTTCATGCCACTGCATGAATCAGTATTAAATACCTTGGAGTTACTAAAAACTGGAATACTGGCAGAGATGTGCACAGCAATTAAAAAATATGAAAATGTGAATACTCCTTTTCCACGTTTCTTTTAATAATGGCTAAAAATGAGGATGTTCTTTCTAGGTAAACAGAAATAGTTTCTTAAAAGCTAAAGGAAAGATGTAATATCTTAAATGCTAGCAAAGTGTCATGGATCCATAGCCATAGCTCTCTCAAAAGAAAAATGAAATACATTTTGAAGCCTAATATTACCTCCAAACATTTTATTAGCCTAACAAATTGCCAGAGCCATTAAAAAATTTTTTTTATCAAAGTCAGTACAGTGCTCTTTTTCCTTATTCAATTAAAAAACATAACTTGCTATCATTTTAACCAGGCTGCACTTTAATCAAACGTGTCTTAAACTACACATTTTTTTCATGTCAAAGACATAACATAAATTTAAAAATTAAGAAATACATTTTTTTGAAAGCTAAGTTCAGATGACATCTGGCCCTGCAGTGAAAGAGTTAACATTCAGCTAAGCTGATCTGCACTTCTGATCCATTACATTTCTCACAAGCTACCCTACAATGAGCTGAGCAAGTATCAACTGTAATTTGATCCTAGAGTTTATGGAAAAAAATAACTGCACATACTCAACATGCACATTTAATAAAAATCTGTTTCAAGAGAAACATATCCAATAAACACAATTTAAGGCATATTTAACTGTTCAATTAACCTCAAATCTGCAATCCCTTTGCTCTCACGCTCTCAAATAAAATAGGAAGAAAAAAAAAAAAAAAAGCAGCAGCCCTACTGCAGGGAAAAGAGGCTTGAAAAACAACTTTGATTGGCACTTGGCCTGACCCACAGAGGAAGAAAAACAGTTTTTGGACAAAGAGCGCAAATATTTGAGCTTGCTTACTTACGTGATTTTTTCTTTCTTCCTTTAAAAAAAAATGTAGAAAGAACAATCCCAAAGTGAACTGTATTTAGAGATATTGACTAAAAACGGTACCATATTCATCTCCGCTTTCAGTCCCGATGCATTTGCACAGCTCAGCAATTTTAATTCATTTGTAGTGAACAAACAGAAGCATCTCACCTAACGTTTCCACTTAATAAAATGTAAAAATAGAGTTTGAATACGAATAAACTGATTACAATATTACTTAGGGGCAGCTGTTAAAATCTGATCAAAAACTCTAGAGACCTTTTTTTCATTCCTTTCCCCATCCCTCTCGTCCTTCCCCACGGGGCGATTAAGCCAAGTAAGCTAAACAATACTGGAGTAAACTTTCTATCAGTCACTCTAGGAAGCAGCAATAAACTGATGGTGCGCCTGATTTTTCTGGATCAATGCGGGGGAGGGGGGTGCTAAGGAGGAATAACCCACATCCACCTCAGTCTCCTCCTCCCCCAACCCCAGCCTCAGGAACTGGCCAGGTCGAATTGCATTTCCCATGGGCATAAAGTTCAAGATGCTTTACTGGTTCCTTTTCGAGACTACAGACACAGGACGACCATCCAAACAATTTGAAAAGAGGGGTGTTGGGCAAGGCGCGCAAGGCAGAAGCAACCGAATAAACAAAAACAACACTCGCAAGAGTTAGCTACAGCAAAGAGGGGCCAGCCAGGTTCCTCGGGATCCGACCCAGCTGCTCTGATTTCACACCGATCTCCATCAACAGCTAAACTGCACAGGGAGGAGGATCGAATCGATCCCTACTGCCCTCCGCCGAAGGAGCTGACCCGGGGTAGCAAGGTAGGGAAATGAGCCGTAAAGGAGAGCAAAGGCACCAAAGAAAAAGAACAAGGGAAGAAAAAAATATCCCAACCCCTCCGGACTTGCGTCTGTCCCGGCGGAAATAAAAAGCCGCAGCAGTCCAAACCCTCCCGCCCTCAACCCACGCCCCCTTTTTTCGGTCCCTGCGGAGGGACGGTGCCCGGGGATCCCTCTGAGCCTCCCCCAGTGCGCGCCCGGGGACGAGCCACCCAAGCCCCCGCCGGCAAGAAGCGACCCTTGCCGGCAGGACCCCGGGCCGAACCCGTACCTTCCGCAGCACTTTCCGGCAGTTGGTACAGAGCAGGTAGTTGGCGGCGGCCGACGGGCTGCTGCCGCCCCGGTTCATCGTGGCTACGGGCG